AAGAGTTTCCTCATTTGAGGCATGTGACGTTTGCGGTTGTCCTGTTGCTATAACTGTACTTTCCGATGCACTGGATTTATAGACAGTGGTCTATTGATGTGCGGTGCTAAGTTTTCCCTTTAGTAGTGAGCCGTCAGATTTTTTCGGTTCGCCCTAATTTGGTATTACTTGTTACACAGGATTGCTGGTGGTCCTGGAACGTTGGTTAGATTATTTAATGAAAGTGAGAGCCCAGCACGTCCCTGTGGAACCCCGCGGGGAATCTTAATTGGGTAGAGTTGCGAATCGGAAACTCATTGATTCAACCAAGTACGAACTCCAGAGTCCACCATTGCAAAGTTTCTGTAGCAACGTTTCAGGTCTAACTCGATCGAATACTTCTGAGAAGCCCATCACAGCTAGGGCATTTGATAATACCTCTTGATCCAGAAGCAAATTAGAGGTACGCGATCGTTAGTGCCGAAACCCTAATATAATAGAAGGTACGACGGTATTTCTTCAAATGACCTATCACCAAGCAAGTAACAATAGATTCCACGACTTTGGGCAATGCGGAAAAGGAACAGATGAGCACAGAAAATTGGATCATTACAACAGCAGTATTTCTAAATGGTTGAGATTAGTGCCTTCACCATACAATTTGGAAGTGTCATGCCATCGATCATTTGTTGCAGCTGTAACCTGCTGGAGTTATTAGGAACTATGGATGTCAGCTGCATCTGGAGTCGACGTTCTTTTCAAGGAAAATAACTTCCGTGTAATATTTTCAGTGAAATAAATGTGGTTTACAATGGAGAGAGATGCCACCTCATTTTAGGAGCGAGTCCTAAAGTATATTGATTTCTTAACTTCAACCGTGTCACCTGTCGCTTTCGAACCGCGCTCTGCTAAGCTTGGCGCTCGAACTTCATACTGGACTTCGCATGTTCACATTTTGAAATTGTGTGCCAGCTTTCCGATGCACATCAACTTATCTTCCCGCGCAAGTATAATAAGTAGCATGTGAATGATTGGACAAAATTTTCCTGGAAGCACACGACCGGTTTCACAGTTCGCCGCTCGCCAGGCATGCGTATCAGGTAATCTTTACTCTATTCATTCATATACTTGTACCCAGAAAATGCATTTTCGTCACAATAACAAGGAGAGAGAATCTTTTACTGTTGCAGCCCTGAGAAGTTGTATTTCCCAATATCTTCCCACTTTTAGGAAACCCAAACCAACCATATTCGTTGACGTACTTTATTACCACGTAACGACGCAGTTCCTCATACCTATTCCTTCGGTCGTTGGCCGATGTTCGGGACGGCCACTGACCAACCAACCGGTACTGTCGCAGTCACCCAATGGTGTCGCACCTAGTGTGACGTGAACATGATACTGCTCCCTGATTGGATAATCCTTGCGAAGAAGATAAACGGATTGCAACAATCGAAGACAGTGTCCCTTGCCTTCGAGATGTACAAGCACCTATCGATCAGAGAGCAGTAGTATGTGTTGCAAATGCTGAATCGACCAGTTGCAACTCAGGGCTCCGTAGCTATCTATATCACTTGATATTTCAAGATAAACTGTTGGCTATTTTATATCCCATCGTACGACTATCGGAGAATTTGTGAAAGCTGGGACATTTGACGAAGGATACAGCCTGAATATCAACGAAAAGTTCGGGACAGCGAATGAGGCGACCTTGGCTTGGTTGACTGCTGTGGGAAAAGAACAGTGGGTTCCCCATGGTGGACAGCTCCGTTTGTAAGAAGGCAATCCAGCTAGCACAAAGAATGCACCATTGTGACTTCCTAAGATTGGTTTCGCTCTTGGTCAGACACATGTAATATTCAATCTTACTAAGTGAAAAACAAGCAACTGCTCATGTGCATTACTTTATAAGTTTCCGGGAAAAGTTTGGCGATACCACGTAATGCAGTAGCCGAGTTTGAGCGGGGTTACCACAGTTGATCCATGGATGTGTTGACCGTGATATCTTCAATGCAGCTCCCAGAAAAAAATGTTAACTCTCAAAACAAAAACAGTTTCTGGATCCAAGAAATCCAAAGAAAGGGTCATGCTATTGCTTTGTGAGAGCATGAGTAGAGAAAATTTCTCACCGTTAGTTATTGAAAAATTTCAAACTTCACGATGTCTCCCCGTCGTTATAATTCTTCAAAGAACGTGTGAGTGATTGCGCTATTTGACAGTTGGCTGTCAGGTATCAACTACAGGGTAGTTTCTCAAAGGCGCTCTATTTTTATTTATTGATAACGCCCCTTGCCATAACAAAGCCGCAGTGCTGTCCAATGTAAAATTAGTACGGGTAACTCCGACCTGTTCTTCAGTGTTACAGCCAAATGGATCAGGCTGTGACTTGGTCTTTCAGATGTTCGTTTCAAAAGCACTTACTGTCTATCATCGAAGATGAGCACCTTGGTATAAAAACCGAAGTGAGCATGTATTTGGTCAAGAAGGCTTGGGTGTCTGTGCATTATGATTAGTTAGCATTGTACGTGCCTTCGTAATACGTAATAGGGAGAGTATCTCTCATTTGGCCACGAATGTGACACCACCCTTCAGTTATCGAGGTTAGTGTTTAGAGGACAGATCATGATCATGTTTGGAAATCAACTGACGGAAGTCGCTGGACCGCTTATTTTTTACGTTGCGGTAGTCTTCACTAAATGGCTACCGAGTCCAATGTTTACTGAATAAAAAGAAAGGTGCAAAACCCTAACTGAACTCACGGTTTCATCGCGGTTTGCATAATATACGTTGTTAGTGATGTTTCCACGAAACTGTCTGTTTTTAAGTTACCCGACTATCGGCAATACAAACATTTTACATGATTCGTGGTAGTGGGATTATTTTAAACTGAGTTAACAATCTACCACAGTAGTCATGTGTGTTTGGTAGATGAAAAAGTGAAGTCGACGAATGCAACCGATCGGCCCCGAAATTATTGTTTGGCAGTTCCAGGGTATTTGGACATTGCTGACATTCTAAGGTGAATTGAGATTAAATCGCAGACATTTGAGGAATTAATTAGACTTGGTTGGGTCCTCCGATGACCTTAACATTTTCAAGGCAAATTCTACAGGCGAGAAGTGCTTCTACAGATGAGAAACAAGGTTCAAACAATAAGCCTACATGTGCGTACAAACGGGGACTTCGTCTGAATTGACAAATAGTCAGTAGCTGAATGTTGTTATGGGAAGGTCGTTCTATCGTTTGCACCAATCACTCACTGTACGATAGACCTATGTAGATCTCTTCTAGTTCTCTGTTAAACTTGTATAGTCATTATTTCTTGCGTATACATAGTAAATNAGACCATTCCGCAAAAATGCTAGACGTTCTGTTTCACTGCGGCCCGACTGAACCCATGCCACGTAGCGTAATGTCGACCAACCGGCGGCATCATGGGGCGAACGGATCTCGTCTGGGGCTCGACTGAACAAGTGTTGGCAAATCAGACTTGGTGAAAGGCGAGTGTCAATGTTGGTCGATCCGGTTGACTCCTTCTGTAGTTTGGTGAACGACTATGGGATGGAACAGGGGTAAAGGTATGAACAATACTGACATAATTTTGTTGGATTAAAGATTTAAAGCCAATGTTCAGGAAGCCGGATGGTGGCGCAACTACAGGTTAGCAAACAATTAATTACAAATTAACTCGACGTTGGAGGCGCGGGGCTCGCATCAAGGGATTAGGAGACAATGATAAGGTGGCCTATAGCGCCCTACCTTAACATAATACAATGTTCGAAGTTCGACATAAACCCTAACACACTACACAGTGAGAGAACGGGAAACGATTGCCACGTTTTCCAACAATCAGTTATCTGCTCTCTGTAAGTTGAGAATATTCCATTCGTTTTCAGACGCCACAGCAGGAGCGGACACCAATGTGAAGAAAACTTACTGTTCATTAAAGAAAACCAGAAATCTAGCTTTGAAACGTGCACGAGTGAACCAAGTGGGACCTAAGTGAAATTCGAACGATAGCGAAGGTGCTTACTACTGAATTTGGAAGGTGGAGGTAGGACCACTGAAGTTCAGTCTCTATTAGTGGCAGCTCTATCGTCATCGAACGAGAGTAGCTTTATTCAAATGGCAATGGAATTTTCAGATTGCGATATTGCATAATATATGTACATACATACTTAGTTAAAAAGGTGATAACTGCAAGTGAAATGGCGGCCAAATAAACTTTTCAGCCCACGCAGTCTTCACGATAAAATTACCCGGAGATGAAATACTGGATATCCGGCAGGTTGTACTTCGGACGTACAATACCGATGAACTGCATAGGATTGCATAAGTAGTTTAATCATTTCGGACAGTACCACAAAATTTTTTCTCGTAAGAAGGAAAAGGGATTTCCAACATAACTGATCAATTCGGACCTGAAGACTCCACAATACACTATATAGTCATTATACATTGACGCAAGAGGCTGCGTCCGGTGCGTATTTCTGGATGGTAATGCTGCAATTAGCATAAAACAAACAAGCACAAACCGATAAACAGGCGTTCGCCAAATTTATAAGAAACTCTTATTGTGACCCAAAGACAAGGTCTTGTATCATATTGAAGACGTTTATATTGTCCACGGACTGAACCGAACCATTGAGCGCAACTAGGCCTTTTGTGCTCGTTAACATTTTGTCGTTGGCCGTTGATTCACCGTTGGTTTCTCAGTTTTAACCGACCAAGCTGTGTCCCAAATGATCATCTCATCGTGATTTTCATCGCATAATAAACAGAACTTCTCAACGGTTTCTAGTTAAGTAACAAAAATGAACACCAAACATTTGCATTAGAGTAAAACATGAATTGCGGAAAAGAATTGAAATGATCGGTAAGTCGATCCTAAGTGTGGAAAACGTCAGCAACTATTATTCTGCCTTCCGATTGGGATAATAGACTATGAGGAATAATAAATTAACACGAATGCTCCAAGACCGGGAACATTCAGTTACACGGGGTCTAGCTTCGTGCACAGTTTAGTAACTTATTAATCTAAATAAACAACAAAATTCAATCAATCGATTGAATCGACACCGGAGAATTGGTGGATAGAAAAGAAAATTCAGCGACAAAGAGGTGAGTGTTTAAAACAGAGGAGGGGAAATTTACCTCCACTATCTGTTCTGTCGGTGTGGTCAGCACGGGTCGGAACGCACGAAGTTTGGCATAATGTTCAGGCACCAAAGACGCCAGAGAAAATCTCATACTGGGCATCGTAAGTGGAGCCAGAGCCAACTCGAATTCGGCGCAGTCAGTTGCCAGCTGCATCTGTCCAGTTTCACTCAGAGGTCGAACCAAACTGATGTGCAACAGAAAAGAGTCTATCCAACGACCAAGATAGGGTCGAATGGCATCCTGCAAAGCTGCTTCACCGCAAGAGAAACAACTCTCACCCAAACCGGAAAATCGTGGTTCCGCAGACCCCGTGGCGCTGCTAACAGTTCTGGATGACAACGAACGCGTTAATCCGGATAAGTACTGCCGTCTTACCCTACCAATGAAATCCTTGAAAGAAAAAATGAAAGACATGTGTTATATCGATGAATGGATTAAAATGACTGCTGCTCATGGTTCGCTGAATTCCTAGAAAACTCAGTCTACAGCAGTGACTTATCATCTCAGTTACGATTATACAAGACATTCGCGAACATATTTAGATCGAGGTAATGGCATACACATGGTAATGTTTGTAGCAGCTCACTTGGGTGTTCTTCATATACTTGGATCCTGCCGGTCGTGGATTGGAATTATCAAAGCTCTCACCATGGATTGTTCCCAGTATTTCTTCCAACGCTTCACCAATTGCACGTAACAATGGATCCAAAATGGACAGACACAGCGAATTTAGACGAGTTTTAACCGCTTCCTGAATCACTTCAAACGGAGAATGAGCAACGTGCGTTGGAGCTGTTTGCAACACGGGCAAGTTTCGCAGGCNCAAGTTTCGCAGGCGTCGGTTACAAGTCAGCTCGAGCTGGGTTCCAAACGCACAAAGCAGATTAACCAAACGGATGTTATTTTGCTGCCCAGGCGTTTGAGCGTCCATGCACTGTTCCGCGGAAAGTCCCACGGCAACTAAACCCTCCACTTTTGTAGCGAAAAGAGCGACCATTTTGGCTACATTTCTGGACACCTACGGAAAGGAGCATAAGAGGATTGTCAAATTTTAATAGGGACAGCAAGTACTATTCATGGAGCCCAATTTTCGAGGTACATGGGGAAGATATTTACAAAAAGGTTAATGGGTTATCGAATGTACCGATATCCCTCCCATCCAAAGTAAAGCTCAGAGAATCCTAATTTCAGCACTGTTGACTCAGCTGTACAGATTCTATGCAATCCAGACAATTTCACCTCCGAACACCGCTACGAGTTCACTGATTCAACGTGAATATGTCAAACGCATGGTGATTTCACTAAATTATCCGTGAAAAAACCAATAAACTTCGTTCGTTTCGTCCATGTTGCGTCCGGAAGTTACTGTACGAATAGCTGAATAGAAGTTTTCAGGAGGCTTTAAACCGGTGACTGAAAAATGTTTTCACCATCTGATTACAAATCAGACCGTGATTAAATGGATGCTCTTAAGCTCACTACACCTATATTGTCTCGGGACCTCCACTTTTTCGTGTTGTGAACAAGGCAACGAATGCTGTTTCAAGGGAAATTTCTACAAGCAAACAGCAAAATGAGCCATCGCGTGCATGTGAATGGAATGGTAACATACCTTACACAATAACTCATAGTGCACTGTGGCGTACGCCAGCTCATTCACGGCGCTTTGTACGATTCCGTCAACCTCGCTCGAATCCGGCACAGATGAGGTGTTGGTTGTGCTCGACGAAAAAGCCATAGCCACCCGATCGAACAGACGTGACAAACTGCGTGAGAGATAAGCTGTTTCGAATGTGCTCAGCGCACGCAGCATGCACATCGGAAGTTGTTGGTGCTGTTGTGGATGTTGATCCAATGATTGAGCTGTGCTGTTCGACAAATCGGAATTGGTTGGTGAATCTGAGAAGAGTTGTGTCTGGCGTAACCGGCGTTCCAGATCCAGTATTAATTTGAGTAATTTCGGGTACTCTCCATCCAGTGGTTCTTTAATTTGTGGAGATTGACTGGCAGCCTTTGAAAGCTTCTCAGCTAGAAGCTTTGAAGCCCACCCGAGGAAACCCTCACTTACGGCAAGATCGGAACGGAGCTCAAGCAAAGCATTGAGTGCAGTGCGTTGGGATGGAGCGGGGGAATCATCATGAATCTGCGATTCAGGTAATCTGGGATCTGCAATTTATATAAACAACAACACGAACAATGAAACATGGAATCATTTATACCGACTACAAACGAATAAAAAGGACATAATGGCATTCGTAGCGGGACTAGATGGCAGAAAAACCAATAGGTAGGATATTTGTTAACAGGATAAAAATGGTATTTGGCGATTAGCACAACCATAGAGGATAGCAATTATAGGAAAAAGATAATCAAAAGCAGACCTAATCTCAGTACGAAATGAATTTTGCACATGAATAACATAGCAAACAAATTGAGTATTTTTTCACGGAGTGATAATAACAATAATAAAATAATAATAAAATGAAATATAATAATATAATAGAGTAAGACCCTTTATAGGTGCAGTTTAAGCGCTGTGGTCGGTAAAATATTTCACCAATGAATGTCATTGCTCAGAGTTGTGAAAAATTGAAGTTGGTAGATATGATAGAAAAAGGTTAGTAAGGTTATGATTAGCTTCAAATTCCAAAATAATGTGAGCTAAATGCCAACTTGATGAGTGGATTTATGTTGATAGTATGATCGTATACCAGACCATTAACAACCTAAATTGAAAGAGTACAAACCCTAAAATGGTGGCTAATAACGTCCATTATATCTAGTGGGACCAATGAGAAATACAAGACAATTAAAACCCTTTCCAGCGACTACACAAGTGTTAATCACTCATTAAGGTGAGTTCAGCGTACGATGAAGCAACTTTTACTGGCGAGAGGTCTGCCAGTTAGTGAGGCAGCAGATCCATGGGAATAGTCTCACCGTTCGAAACCAGGATAGATTGTAATTAAAATAGTCATCATTAAGCCTTAAAGTAGTCAATCGAACTACCAAACTGACGAGCTCAACGAACAGGCGAAAATGAAATTAGTCAGGTTCGGAATACGAGATTGAAAATTTTCTAAGAGACGATTGAGGACTTTGGTTAAATATGATGCCAAGTGGGTGTTAATCGGAGATGAGGTGAAATAATGCTGTTAGCAAACAGAATATAGTTTCACTAACCATACACACCTCTTCAAGTAGCCAGACGTGGTAAAAAATGACAAGCACCACAAGCCACTATTTTAGTATAAGGCTGCAGTTGAGTCAACAGAAGACAGGATGGATTCCGCACACGAGAGGAAATCATTTTTCTTATTGTTTTCACGACATAATTTTGTCTCTTGAGTATATAGTTTCCTGGTTGTCCATTTTTATTTGAACACGTATCCGATAATTTGAAGAATTTGGAAAAAGTGCCACAATATACTTAATGTTCACATTTAGTAGGAAGATGTTATTTTCCGGTTGCTGTTTAACTTGCACTTTGATAAACCAGTAACTGCGGCCGGTGTAATACGGATCCTGGTCATCGAAATATAAGATGAGTTTCTTCAGGCATTCTACGTTCCGCCAAAGCACTCGGAAGCAAACTATACCTTACTGTCGTGATACTAGTTCATTTGCTACATTCTCGTATTCAGGTCAAACTACACGAATGTTGATGTCCGATTAACAATTGTCGACGACTGTTTCAAATACACACAATGTATCACAGACAAAGCAAAGCTGACAGCGGTAAGTAATACACAAGTTCCTCTCAACTTCAACGAAACGTCGATGTCTCTTGACTAGACTAGTAGTTGATTTAAGCAAATGATAATGAATGTGATCCAGAAAAAAAAATCAGTAACATTTCGCTAGACTCGTCCGATTTCAATAGCCAAATTAGAAGCGTGTTTATCACTTACCAATTCGTAATTGGTCACTGGTCAGATGGACGGAGGCAAACAAAAGTATTACAGCGGTCCGAATGTTCTTATTTTCTGACCCACGTCCCATATCGTGTGCAATCTGATCTAGGAGAAGTTCAGCCAAACTCGGGTGCGAATCCACAGTTTCTCCGATACGACACACAGCGTTTGTCGGGACTGCACCGGCGGCCGTATCTTTCTGTTTGAGAAGCGTCAGTCCAAGTAGGCGACAATGAAGCAAAAAACGCTCCAGTTTATCCACCGTGTTGTCTAAACTAGTCCACATGGCAACGTGAAAAGCAGCTGCTTGACCACCCCCAGCAGGTAAAGAAGCACGACCTATGGAACGGTAGAATAGAAAGGACGATTTAGGGTCACAAGTAACAAATATACAGAAAATGAAGCGCTAAAGATTTAACTAGGTTGATGAACACATGAAGGGCGATTATTCATTTTGGTATAGGGAATGTATGGCCAGGTACAAAACAGCGCATATTTTCTCAGGTGTGTGATTCGCTACGTCACCTTCAAGGATTAAGAGTGATATTCATTGTCACTGTAAAGATGACCCTAGTGAGCATGAGATCCGGCGTTCGTAGCGTACAGAACTGCATGCTTGATCGCGGATAAACGCAGTACAGTCATTCTCTTGCTGTCGAACACATCGAGGATTAAAAGAGTAAATATGAGTTGTTCTTGTCATCACATGTTTTACTCATTGAACTATAATCATCGCAGATTTAATCAGGCTGTGAAAAATGCAACGTGAATGATAAATGATGTAACAAAGGTGATAACATATGCGACGAAGCTGAGTAACGTGGCGGTGGTAGTTACCAAATTATCACCCCGGGGATGTGTTCAAATTCCACCACCAGCGCCTGGCTTTCCCTTTTGTGTGTTGAATGGTAGCCATTTGATTGGCCGCTTTCTCCTTCCTGCAAATTGTACCTTTGTATATTCAATGAAAGGAAATGAAAAAGAAAAGCCGTAGGTGATGGGTTTTTGCCATTGGTATTGCGGGTAGAACGCAATAATCGATCCGGGAGTTACAGAGGAAAAACGCAATTTCTGTTATCCAGCGAATGAGTTTAAACTTAATCTTGCTATTCAGATGGAACAACGTTAATGCATTCATTATAGCCTTGTACCATTGTAAAGCATCTTGTCAAGTGTACCTTTCAAAGCCAGGAATACGTAGGCAATTGCATCTACCTCAAAGGAATCGGTGCTATTCGAGAGGACCTCTGCCTTAATGGAATTTACTCACCAGGCTAACGAGGGACTGAACCCACTCATGCACCGATTCATTTCAACATTCAAGCCGGGTCACGTTGACCGATTTATAGATGCGTTTTGACGTGACCCGCTTCCTTACTCGGTCGACTAAGGTCAATTACCGTCGGGTTCGTTCATTCTCGTCTGCAGTTCACAGGATCAACGATCAAGGACATAACCGTTTCCGGGTGGGGCGCGGTAGGAACAGTCAAACCCCACCCCAACGAATCTTTATTCTCGATCGGTCAGTCACTCAAAAAGTAATTTTGTTGGTCTATGCAGAAATCAGTTCACTTCGACTGGAAGGGGTTTGATAGACTCGGTCCAATCGGTGGTGTGTGAGGGCAGAACAACAAATCACTTTGAATCACGGACTAAGTCCATAGTCATAATCAGAACACAGGTTGTAGGTGAACATGTTTTCGGTGAGTTCCTTATCAAGCCAGTACAATCACATTTATGAGAAAATAATGGAAAAGTGTTGTAGTCGAGGGCAAATAATTATAGGGGTAGGGGACACATTTGTCACTCGTTCTCGTGTTTAGATAAGAACGGGTTACGTAAGTGTTGATAATCGATTTGGGTCATCGCAACGATCGTGCGTGATGTTGTCTTCTTGGGCCAGGGCAGTTTAAGTGGCTAAACAAGCGTTTTT